TTCACATTATGCCCAGAATATACCAAGCACTCAATAAAAGTTTATTAGTTAATTATAATCATTGTTTCAAACTAGGGTAAATTGGAGATGTGAACTCATAAGAAGCCACTAATAATATTATTAAATAGCATTTTCAGAAGAGATGGATTTATGCCTTCATAAATAGGTGACTGGCAGAGAAGATCTGCCCAGATCACTCACATTGTCTTGAGATAGAACCTGAAAATTCCACCACTGTAGCCATTAGTAGGCTGTAAATGGGAAGTATTGCTTGAAATGGGCCAAAAGGCCCATTTTAGGAAAAATGAGAGAAGAAAGAATATTGCCCTGACTCACTGAAAAATCTGGTCAGCATCTAGACCATGAACGTTCTGAGTGTCTTTGAAGGGAAATCTTTAGGGTGATGTGAATAGGGAGTGGAGTTTGTTGCTCAAAGTCTTAATCTTTCCTTTCCCTTAGATAGGTCACATAACTCCTGCTATTAAAAGGGTCATTTTATCTGGGGGAAGATGTACAGCCTGTAGCAACCATGTGGTAGCTGCCCTGGACCTGCCTGCTGGCAGACTGTGACTAGGCTACCTCCTTGCTGGGCAGGGCATCTCTGAAAAAAGGCAGCGGCACATCAGGAACTTATAAATATAGCTCCATCTTCCCACGACAAAGCACCTGGGAAAAGAGGTGGTGAAGAGTTCCACTGCAGCAGACTTAAACATACCTGCCCGGCAGCTCTGAATGGAACAACGGAGCTCCTAGCACAGCACTTGAGCTCCTATAAGGGACAGACCGTCTCCTCATGCAGTTCCCCAACCCTCGTATGTCCAAAGAGACAACTCATAAAGGAGAGCTCAGGCTAACATCTGGCGGGTACCCTTCTGGGATGAAGATAACTGAAGAAAAAACCGGCAGCAACACTTACTGTTCTGCAGCCCCCGCAGATGATCCCCAGGCAAGCAGGGTCTGGAGTGGACCTCCAGCAGTCCTGAAGCAGAGGGGCCTGCCTGTTAGAAGGAAAACTAAAGAACAGAAAGAAATAGCTTCAACATCAACAAAAAGGACGTCCACTCAGAGAGCTCATCCGAAAATCACCAACTAGAAAGACAAGAGGTAGATAAATCCACAAAGATGGGAAGAAACCAGTGCAAAAAGGGTGAAAACAACAAACACCAGAACGCCTCGCCTCCTCCAAGGGATCACAACTCCTCACCAGCAAGGGAACAAAGCTGGAGGGAGAATGAGTCTGTTGAATTGACAGAAACAGACTTCAGAAAGTGCTTAACAACAAACTTACCTGAGCTAAAATAACATGTTCTAACCCAATGCAAAGAAACTACGAACCATGAGAAAAGTCTTGACGAAATGCTAACGAGAATAAACAGCTTAGAGAACAATATAAATGACTTGATGGAGCTGAAAAACATAGCACGAGAACTTTGTGAAGCATACACAAGTTTCAATAGCTGAATCCACCAAGCAGAAGAAAGGATATCAGAAATTGAAGTTTAACTCAATGAAATAAAACAAGAAGGCAAGAGTAGAGAAAAAATAGTGAAAAGAAATGAACAAAGCCTCCAAAAAATATGGGATTATGTGAAAAGACCTAATCTATGTTTGATAGGTGTACCTGAATGTGATGGAGAGAATGAATCCAAGCTGGAAAACACTCTTCAGGATATTATCCAGCAGAACTTCCCCAACCTAGCAAGACAGGCTTATATTCAAGTCCAGGAAATACAGAGAACACCACAAAGATATTCCTCAAGAAGAGCAACCCCAAAGCACGTAATCAACAGTTTCACCAGGGTTGAAATGAAGGAAAAAATGCTAAGGGCAGCCAGAGAGAAAGGTCAAGTTACTCACAAAGGGTAGCCCATCAGACTCACAGCGGATCTCTAGGCAGAAAGCCTACAAGCCAGAAGTGCAGAATGAGATGAAAAGTAAAGAATATAAGGAACTTAATAAGTCTAAACATAGAATATAGCCAAATCCACTCTGGATACAGCAAAAAGTCATTTTTTAGCTTTGCCATTACCTAGCTATAGCCTTTGGAGAAATCACATACCCTTTCTGTTTCTCATTTTCCTCATATGTAAAATGGAATTCAGTGGAAACCCTCATGCCTGATACAATCAGGGCCATTAGTTCATTAGTCAATCAAAAAACCAGTTCAATTGGAAAGAAGTAATAGTATATATTATAATTGAAATCCTTTACTGAGCACATAAAATGTATTTATTACTCAATATTTTCATGTAAGACTAGGCCTTTTCTTGAAATACAGTCCACTGGTTAGAGCCCTTCCTTTATTATGTTTTCAAAACCAATATCCATGATGAATTGCCAGAGATTTCTTACTTTCCTTCTTGTTTTTAAATGGACTGAAATAAGTTTAAGCACAGAATCCTCCTAGGCCTTATTCCCACTTCCATTATCCCCACACCTGTTCTTTTATACTTGTCTAGATGATGAGTAATTTGACTGCAGTTTGTTTTTTAATTTTAATGACATGCCTTTAAAATGAGTTCTTTCAGATTATTCAATTTAGTTTTTATAGAAACATCTTTATTTTTCACTCTATTTCATTGATGCATTCATTACTACTCTATTAAATTATCTAATTATAATTGCAACTGGTTTGTGAGCAAATGCAACTGGTGTTTGGTAAGCAAAGACCTCAAATGGAGAGAGCAAAACTGGTGAACATTCAGGTAAACAGCCTCCCTGCTGGCTGTGAACATCCAAACACATACAAAGAGAATGAAGAACATCAGTTATTTTAGTAAGTCTATTCATGTGAAGATATGTTAAGAATCCTCCTTAGGAACCTCATAAAATTGTCATGAGAATTGAAGGAAAAGGAAAAGTTGGAGGTTTGTCAAATGGCTCATTCTTCCTAGAAGTTGCTTTGTTCCTTTTTTTAAAATTTTCTTTCTTCTTTTTTTTTGAGACAAGGTTGGGTTTGGCTCTGTCACCCAGGCTGGAGTGGTGCAGTGGTGAGATCACTACAACGTCTGCTTCCTGGATTTAAGCTGCTTTCCCACCTCAGCCTTCCAAATAGGTGGGACTATAGGCACGTGCTATTGTGCCCAATTAATTTTTGTAGAAATGGGGTTTTGCCATGTTGGCCTGGCTGGTTTTGAACTTCTGACCTCAAGTGATTCGCCCCAGCTTCCCAAAATACTGAGATTACAGGTATGAGCCACTACACCCAGCCAGAAGTTACTTTCTTTCTTTGCCTTCAGAAGCCTCCCATGCTAGCAGAGTGCCTCGCAGAATGATGACCCCTGTCCAAAAATGTCATCTTGATAATTAACACTCAAGGCTGTAATTTACGTGTTCAATTCCTTTGTGGATCCTACCTTATTGCTTTAAGACTGATCTTTCCCATGTCAATCTCCCTCACAGGTCTGGACAGTCAGTCTTTTCTTCCCATGCTTCCAGGGCCACTTTGTTCAAGCTTGACGCCCATGAGTTTGGCAATTCACAGCTTTCTGTGCAGGATTAACTGGGGGAGCACTAATATCAGGCTTCCAGAGAAAATTGCTGGGTAGTTTGCTTTTTTGAAGCCAGTGGCATCTGGAGCTCTGGATGATTTCATTCAGGCCTATGGAGATATTTATATCTGATTTTGATGTTCTATGATATTATACAGAATTTTTAAAAAGTCAAATAGGATAAGTGTCCATTCATGTGTTGGGTGCACAAAGAGAACATTGGGGGAGAAGTCATGCTCTGCATTTATAATTTACTTTGATTTAAAAAGCACCTCATACTGGTACAACAAAAGAAAAAAAATGTGAGGTAGGCAAGTGTGTCTTTTTTTCTGGTGAGTCTAATTTTATTTTTTTTTTTGGCTCAGCAGAATAGGAACCACACACAATCCTGAATGCTCCCTTCCATTCTTCTAGGGAAACTCGTCTCTGATACATTTATCAGAGGGAAGAAATATTGAGAGCCCCACGCAGTTGCCCACCACATGTCTAGATGCTTAGAGAAAGGGTAAAATTTTGTTCCACCAGCCAAGTGAATTGTATTGGAGAACTTGGTGTTATTAGACTTATTTTTTTCAGTACCTGTTTTTTTTTTTCTTATTTTATCACCATCCCTTTCCTGTTATATATTTGAGGGCTACTGCTTCTCTGGTTCTTTGTGCAAGCGGTCTGGCTGTGCCACAAAGGGCCTAATACTCTGTGTAAGGCCCTTCCTTTTGCCTACCAAAGCCATAGGGAAATTCATTCCACATAGCAAAGGAGCAGCCAATGCCTGTTCTTCCTCTTCTAAGCTGTCGAAGGGAACTGGAAACAAGCTCAGAGGAGGTCATCATCTCTTCTGGAGTGAGAAATAAATTCTTCCATCCAGAGTTTCTTGGGATGTGCTTGAGCATGAATGAAGAATAGAGGAGTTTCTCACAAACCTGTGGCCTGCATGTGTGTCCGCAGAAGAATGTGGTATGTCTCCACTCTGGGCAGAAATAAGCCCTTAATGCAGGAGACTTCAGAGATTTTTATGGAAAAAACAAGAAGATATCTGAGAGAGGAAAGGGAACAACAGGGAACAGGCCTTCCAGGCCCCAAATGCAAACTTCATTTCTGACATCATTTGCATGCATTTGGCTGGGGTGTCAAACTATGGAACCCGGAAGGCTGAGGCCACACATTGAATTCCCCATTCTATCCATAGATCTGACTGTGAGCTCACAGAATGAAGCTATTAGTCACAGGATGAAACTCTTGGAGTAACACACACCACTACATATGATCTATATTTAAAACATATAAACAAAACACCTGATAGTTTTGAAAAGAGTGTGGCTTCTGAGTAAGAAAACATAATCTTCTGAGTTATCCTTAACTTCATGAGAACTCATCATGTTTGACCCAAGTTTATCTCTTTTTTTGATGAAATGACATAGCTCCTGGGAACTATGTCATCTTAACTCAAAGAGAACACTTTCTTTTTCCTATATGTTCATGACAGTTTACATAAATCAAGGACTAGTACACAAAAATGTGGAATGCTTCACAAATTTGCGTGTCATCCCCGCGTAGGGGCCACGCTAATCTCCTCTGTATTGTTCCAGCTTTAGTATATGTGCTGCGAAAACCAAGCCGTTATCAAGGATTGCCTAGAAAGAAATAGAATTTTTATGGATCTGGAAAATAACTATTATGGTCTCTGCTTTATGTGGCATGACTGTCTTCTCTCCAGACTTTTCGCAAAAAAGGCCACCTTTTATTTCAAAGCACTTCAGGAACTTATAGATATGTATCATTCTCTGAAGTCCATGGAAAAAAAGCCATACAAGAACAAATCTGATGACCTCAGAATGGTCTGGGTTCAAAATTGATTAACTGCTTATGTCAGTAAGCTCACCTTTATTCTCTTTTACCATTAGTTGATAAACAGATTTTATAATTGTAATAATGGCACAGTTCTATACTGCATACCTATTTACTATGTTGAATTAGAAATTTGAAGTGTAGGATTATGATGTTTAGAAGCTGCCAGGTAACCACGATTCTAACTTCCTTGAGAAGAACTGGCAGAAGGGAACTTTGCACTGCAGATTTCCCAGCATGAACTCTGAGTTACACAAAAAATTTCCATTCCCATTTGTAACAAAACATATAGCCAATGTGAGACATGTCTAATTTTGGATGACCTAAAATTGCTGGATGGTTAATACTTCTGTGCTCAACCTGCTATCCTAAAACAGGGGTTCTTTCATTTCAAAAGGTTATTTTTAAATTAGTCTTTGGAACCGTGAGATTTGCAGTTTTTGAGTTTATAGTTTTTAAGTGACTGATTATGTTTATTTTATATACTTTTCCTGAAATAAGATCTAACTAGGGGACAGCTGGGACCTGGTCATAATCTCATTTTCTAACAGCAACAGGAAGGGTTGACTATATAAATATTTTTCTTGTTTAATAACATGTTGAAACTTTAAACCTCTTCGGTGTCTTTATTATTATGTTTGTTATAATAAACTTTAAATTTGGAGTTAACAGATGTCCTATAATCACGGTTTAAACTATTGCCCTGGCACCCTGTTTAGCATTCATTATGAATTTATTATTTTTGAATAAAGTATTATAATTTATAGTTATATGAAAATAAAGCTGGATGGATTAGATAGACCCTCACTTTGTCTTTCCAACTGGTATCATCTTTCAGTGTGTAAATTGTATGTACAGCAAACAGAATTTTCACTTTAACCTGTGACCAAATGGGAAATAAGATCCATGATGCCCGGTAGTTTCCCACGCATGCCAGACGCACTCGGCTAATTCCTCCATTTTATAGACAGCAAGCAGGGCTCTTATCAATAAAATGCTCGGATGGTGGTGGAGCAGCAACTTGTGTTGTGGTCTGTGGTCTGAAGCCAGCAGATTATGAGTTGGTAGAGTTAGTTAAAATAGGCTAGAAACAAGGAAAATTATAATTAAGATGTCCATGAAATATGCCTGGGAAATAGAGGTTGAGAAGCTCTGTAGTCAAGTGTTATCAGCAACCATCTGGAAACGCTTAGTGGTTTTGTCAATAATTTTAAGGTAGAATCCTATTATTGCTTCTTATTGTTTGGTAATGATTTTTCACTAGTAAGCCTCTTTGACAACAAAGAGCTAAAAATATTGAAGGTACACATTTAGTTAAAATTAAGGACTGATTTTCTATTTCCCAAAAAAGTTGATAATAAATGTGTGACTTGCACAGCCTAGTTATGAAATCTTTACCATCCATTATGGGTGCTGCCATGTTGTCACTAATCACATAAAAACTAGAAGATACAAAGTTGCTAAATAAGCAATAATATATACTTCAAATATTGCCAACTATTAAAAAATGCCCATGGATGCAATTTAACAGGAGCAGAAGCAGGAAGTGTGTTACATTTTCATTACATGACTTTTCATTTAGAACAAATGATTGTGCCTCTAAATTTATTCTGCACATTTTAGATTCTGTGGTTTCCTGCAAATGTTTGAAAAGTGAAAGACAGCTGTTAGTAAGTTGGTCCTATCATTGAAAGAACAACTTGGCAAACAATTGAAGAATGCCAGGTTTTTTTTGTTTGTTTGTTTTTTGTTTTTGAGACAGAGTCTTGCTCTATTGCCAGGTGCCAGGCTGGCGTACAGTGGCACAATCTCGGCTCACCGCAACCTCCGCCTCCTGGGTTCAAGCAACTCTCCTGCCTCAGCCTCCCAAGTAGCTGGGACTACAGGCGCACGCCACCACACCCAGCTAATTTTTGTATTTTTAGTAGAGACGGGGTTTCACCATGTTGGCCAGGATGGTCTCGATCTCCTGACCTGGAGGCCTTGGCCTCCCAAAGTGCTGGGATTACAGGCTTGAGCCACTGTGCCCGGCCAGAATGCCAATTTTTAAAATCAGTGTTATTGGGGTGATTCTAATGGAAAATCAGTCAAATTACTTCCAATAATAGCTTAATATTTTCAACCAATTTATGAAATCAAAATAAAGCTTTGAGTGCTTTTTCAGAGACAATATACCTGCCATTACTGTAAATTTTATTGTAAACTTACTTTACTTATTTGTTTATTTTTTATTTACTTTGAAACAGGGCCTCACTCTGTCACCCAAGCTGGAGAACAGTGATAATTATAACTCACTGTAGCCTAGAACTCTTGGGCAAAAGTCATTCTCCTGCCTTAGCTTTCCAAATAGCTGGGACTACAGGTGCATGCTGACACACCCAGCTACTTCTTAAATGTTTTTTGTAGAGATAAGGTCTGTGTGGCCCAGGCTGGTCTCAAACACCTGGGCTCAAGTGATCCTCCTGCTTTGGCCTTCCAAAGTGTTGGGGTCATAGGAGTGAGGCTACCACTTCTGTTTTTATTTTTATTATTATTTTAAAATTTACTTTAAAAATTCAATGTTAAGATAAAATTATTTTAACATAAATTTTGGTGGAGCATGGTAAAAAATTTCTGCATCAAGTTCTATCAAGCTGAATCATATTTGAAACTGGTTGTAATGCACACAAAACTCATAGATATCAGTCTGAACATCTTTGATTCTCTAGTGATTGAAGTAGAAATCAAGAGTTGTTGAGGTTTACAAATATGTCTTAACATAAGCTGAGTAAATGAATTATCTCATATTTGTGAAGAAGCTAATGTTGAATTTTAAAAGACAAATACTTCATCAAGACAGTACATGTTCGTGTACACGTGTCCTTATAGTAGAACGATTTGTAATCCTTTGGATATATACCCAGTAATGGGATTGCTGGGTCGAATGTTCATTGCAGCACTGTTTACAATAGCAAGGACCTGGAACCAACCCAAATGCCCATCGACGATAGACTGGATAGGGAAAATGTGGCACATATACACCATGGAATATTATGCAGCCATCAAAAACGATGAGTTTGGGTCCTTTGTAGGGACATGGATGAACCTGGAAACCATCATTCTCAGCAAACTGACAGAGGAGCAGAAGATCAAACACCGCATGTTCTCACTCATAGGCGGGTGTTGAACGATGAGAGCACATGGACAAAGGGAGGGGAGCACTACACACTGGGGTCAGTTGGGGGGACATAGGGGAGGGACGGTGGGGGGTGGGGAGCTGGGGGGGGATAGCAGGGGGAGAAAGCCACATGTAGGTGATGGGGAGGAAGGCAGCAAATCACACTGCCATGTGTGTTCCTATGCAACAATTTTGCATGTTCTTCACATGTACCCCCAAACCTAAAATACAATAAAATAAATAAATGGGGGGAAAAAAAAAAGAGTACAAGGGATATTTCTGTACTATGTTGTAAAACAATGCGTGAATCCACAATGATCTGAGAATACAATGTTTAATCCACAATAAAATTTGAAGAGGTGAAAAAAAAAAAAAAAAAAAAAAAAAAAATTAAAAAAAAAAAAAAAAAAAAAAAAAAAAATTAAAAAGGTGAAAAAAAAAAAAAAAAAAAAAAGACAGTACATGTTTTCTTTATGGCCCATCATCAGTTTGATTTTAGAAATGCTGGCTTAAAGAGCTACTTTGTAAAATTCTTACAATCTTAGTGTTCCACAAAAAAGTAAACTTTTTTTTTTTTTCTTTTTTGGTAAACAAGTTCACTAAATTTTGGTTGTCTTTTGTTTAAAATTACTTGGAAATCTTTAATTAAATTATTCACTTATTAACTAATACAAAACTTTGTCTTTCAAAGCTTTTAAGTCAGTCACAGTTGTTAAAAATAGATCACAAATGAGAGGACACTAAAATTTATTCCTATAGGAGCAGGGAAAGAGTGGCACAAATTAAACATTGAGGGAATGAAAGGTTAAAGATTTAATTTTCAAAACCAACAATGGCTATTTGAGTTTATTGACTTCTGGGAAGAATTTTTGTCACTATCTCTATTGTTAATGGAATGAATTTCTATCATTGACCACAACAGAATTAAACTAGGATGTCTGTAATTTTTCAGAATTACTGTCTGATGAAACATTCAACACAATCAAGTTTTATCTTCTAAAATATTTGCCAAAAAGCTATTTAAATGGAGGAAAAGGAATGTGTAAAAATGATTACTAAATAATTAATTTTAAATAGTATTTAAAACAGAGAAAATCTAATTCAGAAATGGAGGTTTTATGTCTATCATCCTTCTCAATTCTTTCTTTCTCTCTGGAAGGTTTTTGAATTTTCTTTTTGTCTTCGATATTCTTAAACTTCACCATAATGTGTTTGGATGTTGTTTCTTCATATTGGAACCATATAAGCCCTTTCAACCTGAGGCGTTTCATCTTTTAATTCTAGAAATGTATTTTCATTATTTCTTCAAATATTTCCTCCTCTTTGTTTTTATTTCCCTTTCCTCTAAAGACTTCTATCTTCTGGATGTTGGCTTTCTGTTTCTGTCTTCTCTATATGTTAGCCTTTCTTTCATATTTTGTATCAGCTTATTCTTTTCTGGTGATTTCTGAGATTGTGTGGTCTTTCCAAATAATAAATTCTTATTTTCACAGGATTTATATGACTACTTAACCCATCTATTGTATTCTTTATGTCAGCTATTATTTGGTTCACATTTAATGTTTTCTCTTAATCTTTATTTTATGTGGTTATAAAAATGAACAATATGTA